AAAACGCAAATTAATAACATTTGTCATCGAAATATCGAGGCAATTTTTTTGTAATAAATATATATATGTTTTTTTAATTATTTTGTAATATTTTTTTTTGGAGATATATACAGTACCGCTTAAAAGTATCAGATCACCTGCCGAAAACATTCGCTAATTTTAAACATTAGTAGCTCAGCGCCCAATTATCGTACAGAAACGAAAAATTGCTAATTGAAAAGGAGACTCTCAGCTTTCTAATCACGTTGAGATCATGTAGATATGTCAGTTTGTCATTGAACTGCGTTAAATTTATTAACGTAGTTTTTTGTATTTGTTCTTTATTATTTAAAACAGCTCTCATTTTTGTGAAATTGATCACAGATGAAAATTGTAAAAAGCATTTGAAAGCTTATAGTTTCAACTTTAATTTTGATTATTAGGATTTTGTCTACAATTTTTTTTTCGCATAGTTATTCAACTTTTTGTGCAAAAGTACAGTATTTTTATAATATCTGTTATAAATTTTGCTTTTCTCAAAATAGCCACCATTTAGTCAGAACATTATAGTGCAAAATATAACGTTTATTTACTTTCTTTATTTATACATTATTTGTACAGCTCAAAATGTTACTTATTTTCTTTTGTTCAGCTTGGCAATTTTATAAAATCAAAATGTATATTATTTTGTTTATACATAAGATATTTAGAAAAAAGTATTTTGTTAAAAATCTGTATTTATAATAATAGTAAATATTTTATGTATCGCTTAATATTATTTATCAAAAATTGAATTTGACCATGCGTTAAAAAAAATAGGAATGGGTAAAAAATGCACGAACAAAATCGCTCCTAAAAATTTAAGAAAATTTCAGCCAATAGATAACTACAAGACGCAACTTTTTTTACTTTTGACTTTTTCTCATAAGTCGCAAGTTTTCAAGCTAAGTGATATTACAAAAATACCGCACTTTTGCACAAAAAGTTGAATAACTATGCAAAAAAAAATTATAGACAAAATCCTAATAATCGAAATTAAAGCTGAAACTATAAGCTTTCAAATGCTTTTTACAATTTTCATCTGTGATCAATTTCACAAAAACGAGAGCTGTTTTAAATAATAAAGAAAAAATACGTTACAAGAAACTACGTTAGTAAATTTAACAGTTCAATGACACATGATCTACAACGCGATTAGAAAGCTGACAAGTCTCCTTTTCAATTTGCAATTTTTTTTCGTTTCTGTACGATAATTGGGCGCTGAGCTACTGATGTTTGAAATTAGCGAATGTTTTCGGCATCTGATACTTTTGAGCGGTACTGTATACATATCAAAGAATAATTTAATTTTATATAAATAAATTTTCTCACATTTGCATTGTTTATTAGATATGTTTTAAGTTTCTTTTAAATTGTCTGTCTTTTTTTGTATAAAGAGAAACAAATCCAAGGCTCATTAATTCTATTGCTATGCATTTTCAGCACGAAATGTCTGTCAACTACTTTAGGTGTTGTTGATCGAGATCTTGAGGCGAAAATAAAGAATAAAAAAATGAAAATTAATTTAGAAAACGGCACACGTTGCGAAGTTCATGAATACAAAGCTTTTTGGTTCAAAAAGAAATGTTATATTTGGGATGTTACAAGAAACATATTTTCCAAACTTGTAGGGCTTGATAATGGCACAATGTGTTCCGACCTTCATACCTCATACAACAGCGGCTTGTCCAAGGAAGAACAGTTACTTAGGTAATATTGTTAAATATTATAATGTTAATTGATCATATATCATATGAGTTAAATTAACTACATTAACCTGCAAAATTAGACTTTTATTTGTTGTTTGTAAAATAATAACTACTTTTTCTTTCGCAAACAAACATACGCAAGACATTATTAGTGTTTGTAAAAGTAGAGTTTTTTCCCAGCAAAAAAATGTGTCATTTTTGTTACAGGCGTATTGTATATGGAAATAACGATATCGTTGTACCGCTTCAGAATATCGGCGTGTTACTACTGCTAGAGATTTTAAACCCATTTTATATTTTTCAAGTATTTACTCTAGCCGTATGGTTCGCGGAGGGTTATCTGTATTACACTATCGCTATAATATTGATGTCGCTATTTGGCATAACAAGTTCTATAATACAAACGCGCAAGGTATATAGTGTACAAGAGGATGAAAAATAACGAATGATAAACAAATCAGATAAATCTTGAGTTTGACAATTTTTACTTGTTTTTAGAATCAATCGAATTTACGCGGTACTGTCGCGTCATCGGGAAATGTACGCGTACTACGAAACACCGGTTTTTCCGAGAATATTTCTAGCAAGGAATTAGTGCCCGGTGATCTTATAGAATTACCGAGACATCAAATGACTCTTGTATGCGACGTGGTTTTATTGACAGGGCAGTGCGTTCTAAACGAATCCATGTTAACAGGTAAAATCTCTTTCATATTTTATAAACTTTAATAAAAAAAAGGTACTTTCTTCCTTCATTTTAAGGGATTTGTTTATTTTAATAATTTTACCAGGCGAGTCTACACCAATAACAAAAACATCATTACCATCACGCCGTGTACTATATGATGCACAAAAGTATGCGCATCATACATTATATAGCGGTACCACTATAATACAAACCAGGTATGAACACACGAAATTTTACAGTGGCACACATGGACGCTCGTGTTTAGATCCAGTTTTGCAATATTGAATTTATCATGGTATCGAAAGGGTACACCTGTCCTTTGATTTACGTGGTACATTTTTTACGCGGTCAAAAAATGTTTCTTTCTATTGTATGCGAATTATTGTACATCGGTGAGCAAAAACTTTTTATCTTATTGCACTTGTTATATTATTCTAATTTATTTTACCTTATTTTTTCATTGATTTTTAAACTAACAATCAAATGCTATTATTAACACCGAAAAAATAGGGTTAATGATAAATGCTTCTATAGGGTTGATAACAAACATATTCTACTAGCTATAACAATTAAGAAATAACCTTTGCAGATGTCACGGAGATCAACCAGTTCTGGCAAGAGTAATCAGGACTGGTTTTCTAACTAACAGAGGTGCTCTAATCGGCGCTATATTATATCCTCCACCAGCTGATTTTAAATTCGACAAAGATTCATATAAATTTATCGGCATTCTGGCGGTAATTGCAACTTGTGGTTTTATATACACCGTAATAACCAAGGTAATCTCTTATTTTGATGTAAATGTTCACACATATTTATTTGTGATTATTTATTTATTTATTTGATTGATTTACGTATAAAGATAATCGACATTGATGTGCATTAATATGACAAATAATTTAGATTTCCAGAGGAATTACGCCGGGCGATATAGCGATAAAAGCATTAGATATTATTACAATAGTCGTGCCGCCGGCATTACCAGCTGCGATGACAGTAGGAAAGCTGTACGCTCAAGCGAGATTAAAACGCGCGGAAATATATTGCATTAATAACAGAACCATCAATGTTTCCGGAAGCATAAATTGTGTGTGTTTTGATAAGGTAGCGGTATTGCCTTTTCCAAATTAATTATCCCACATAATATTAGGCATATAATACTTTTTTGTTTTTCTTAATTTTGTCATGTCACAGACAGGAACGTTAACCGAAGATGGATTGGATATGTGGGGTGTTGTGCCGTGTACAAACGGCGTCCTTGATGAGGCCGAGACGGATATATCGAAGCTCAAGGATCATCCTCTTTTCGAAGGGATGTTGGTTTGTCACAGTTTAACACTTATCAATGGAAAACTTAGTGGAGATCCTTTAGACGCGAAGGTAAGATATTTATTCCATTTTTTACTTTAAATGATTTATAATTCAGTACTTTATTGTGCGGTATGTTTGAAACTATTGTGTTTCACTTGGTCGCATAACGAGACTAAACGATACGTCAAACTTCATGCTTCAATCATCTGTTTTATATTTGTTTCGGATTTTTATTGTAATACATTTTAATTTGTAATGTACACTGAGGATGGCCTAATCAAAAGCCAAAACGTCTGTATTTTTGTAATTTAATGTAACGAAGAGTTGTAATATTAAAAATGATTTATAAGTAATCAAGTATTTTAAAAAGAAGTTAAAAAGTCTATAAAAACAGCTTTTTTTTTAAGTTAACAGTTTGCCATTTTGTTAGCAAATTTTCAATTTTTTTTCTTGAAAAATTTCTGTTTTTTTGAAGTGAAGAGTATCTTAACATAACTTTGTTCATTAACTTTTTGAAATATTTTTTCAACAAGAAATGTTTTAGACACAAGGCACAAAATTTCGTAGAAATATTGTAGATTAAATACAATAGCTACAGTAAAAAAAGTTTGTTATGACTGATAGACATCCCAAGTAGCAAATAATCGTCATTTGATTATCATTTGTTCAGCTCTTTAAGGCCCAACGCACAATAGAGAAAATATTAGGAATAGGAATAAATATTAAATATTAGGCAGAGCAATTTGGAATTTTACTTCAAATAAGGGAACAGAATGGATTTATTATTTTTAATTCTTTAAATGATAATCAGATAGAGCTATCTGTAGCTGTCTGTAGTCATAACAAGCTTTTTTACTGTTGTATTTAATCTACAATATTTTTAAATTTTTAAATTGCACACAGTATTGTATGCGTTTCTCTGAAGGTTGAAATCCTGACATTTTATTTAAATAAAGACGATTGAAAAATAAGAAAAAATAGTTAAATACGTTAGCACATGCAGAAAATATTTTTTACATTGCATAGCTCAAGTAGAAATTATAAGAATTGTAAGAGACTTATAAAATACTTGATTACTTTTGAGTATCCTTAATGTATCGCCTCGTTCGTCTTTCTTTTATAGTATTTTTTATATTTTTATTCTGTGATCTACTCAATATAATAATATATTGCGTTATTATATGTTACAGATGTTCGAGAGTACTAAATGGATATTAAAAGAATCGAATTGTGCGCACATAAATAAATACAATACGGTAGCGATGGCTGTCAGACCGCCGAAAAGTTGGACGGAGAATACGAACAAGACCTCGGAAATTGACATAATACAACAGTACCAATTCTCGAGTTCGTTACAACGAATGTCCGTGATCGTGCGTACACAAGGATCGAATAATTTTCAAGTTTACACGAAAGGATCCCCCGAAATGATCATCAATCTAAGTAAAGCGGAAACCGTACCGAAAGACATTCTGCTCGCTTTGGAGCGATACACCAAACAGGGTTATCGCGTAATAGCTGTGGGTCGCCGAGCATCAATCTCCGAAGATATTGTAAAGGTATTATCCGTAATTTTTTTACACAAATACATTCCCTCCTCTTCTTCCACCCGTAAACATGTTATTGAAAAATGTAATATCTCACGAGAAGCTGTATCTCTAGGTGTTAAAATTATCTCGAGAAGCGGTCGAGCAAAACTTGGAGTTTTTGGGATTAGTTATTCTGGAAAACCGATTGAAACCACAAACGGCACCGGTGATAATGGAGCTGAGAGAAGCCAATATACGTGTGGTGATGGTTACAGGTCAGATATTGTACCGATTTTTCGTTTTTTTCTTTACAGGATGTCTTATTTTAAATGATGATCTGAAATATATGTGTATTGGAATTGAATGGAGATGCACAACAATTTTTTCACAAACAAAAGTGATAAGACTTGAAAGGGGAAAAGAGAGTAATATTCATTGGCGTAGCTAGGGAATTTTTTGGGGGAAGGCCGTGATCCTTTCTACCTGTGAAGTTTAATTAAATCCCTATTGTAGATCCTTTTATTGTCGATTATTTAATGAGGGTAATAAAATTCTAAACTGAATAAATACATTAAAATATAATACTTCCAACTTTCTCACGTCAGAACTCTGAGCTGCGTGCCAAAATCATTTTTATTTAGATTAATTACTATTTATGAAATTTTTGGGGGAGACCTGGACCTTTCAGCTCCCACGCCAATGGTAATATTTTTTAAACTTTTAGTTGATTTCTAAACGTTATATCGAGATCACTTTGAATATTTTTAAATAAGAACTTTTTCATTGCATATTCTTGTAATTGATATTAAAATGCTCTAAAAATAATGATTAAACCCTTTTTTTTTAATCAACTTTCTGACATATTTAGTAGACATAACATTTTATTATGATGTACGAAATAATATAATAAAAAAATGTAATTACATTATTTCAAATATTTCGTCAGCTACAAAAATTTGTAATAAAATTTGACCTAAAAATGTGACTTTTACGTAATCTTGAGGAGTCAAAATCAAACGGATGTTTTTTTTCTTTCAAATTTTATAATTGTTGTGTGCAAGATATTTTATATCTCCATCCAGTTTCGATATTTTAGGTCTTTATTTAAAATAAACACTTTGCAAGTATATAAACACGATCTGATAGATTTGATTTTTACCAGGAGACAATATCCAAACCGCGGTGAGCGTCGCGCGAGAATGTGGAATACTTTCGATCAAAGAACGCGTTGTAGATATAGCTATAGCTTCGAGAGGAAAAAAAAATCGTCCACAGATTCTCTTCAATGTTCAATCTGAATCTCCAAAATTGGTAAATTTACAAACTTTTAAATTAAATAGTATACAAAGCGGTAAAACTCAGAATCAATATTATATTTTACTATTTTCCTATAGAACTCGCAAGATCAAGTCTTTGTGCCGCCGACGATCGAAGACGTAGAACACGGTGCAGTCAATTGTAATTACAGATTTGCTCTAACGGGCGAAACGTGGCAAGCGCTTCGAGAATACTATCCTGATCTTGTGGACCGCATTTGCGTGCGTAGCGCAATATTCGCTAGAATGAGCAGTGATCAAAAGCAACATTTGGTTATGGAGCTTATGCGGCTCGGTTATTACGTAGGTGAGTAATACAAATGATTTCTGTATTTTCATTACTCACTCGCGTGTGAGTGAATACAGAAAAAAAAGACAAACAAGACCAATATTAATTTGTAACAAATATTTGAAATACATGCAATAAATATATTTATAATATAAATATTACTTAGCCATGTGTGGAGATGGAGCTAATGATTGTGGAGCATTAAGGGCTGCGAATATTGGCATATCGCTCTCCGAAGCAGAATCCAGGTGAGAAATATATCGGATACACGTTACATTATTATTAACTGTTATTCTTTCGTTTACATTTCTGTTATTTTCTTGCAGTGTGGCTAGTCCTTTCACCTCGAGAATATCCGATATAACTTGCGTCCCGAAAGTGATACGAGAAGGACGCGCTGCTTTGGTCACATCGTTTGGAATTTTCAAATTCATGGTCGCGTATTCTCTCACCGAATTTCTCTCCGTCATAGTATTATATTCCATAGACTCAAATTTGACGGATTTGCAATTTCTGTTTATCGATATTTGTCTAATCGTTAATTTCGCCTTCTTCTTCGGCAAAACTCACGCTCATAAAAAGAAGTTATCCAAGAAAACGCCGATGACAAGCCTGCTAAGCTTTACTCCGCTTCTGTCTCTGACGGCACACATGTTCGTGTTTATAGTTTTTCAAGCGATAGCGTATCATGCCGTTCGGCAGTTTCCATGGTTCACGCCATTTGTCCGTACCAGCGACATTGAATACACGTGTTACGAGAACTATTCGGTCTTTTGCGTCTCCATGTTTCAATACATCACAATGGCTGTTATATTTTCACGCGGGAAACCATACAGGCGCGCGATTTATACAAATGGCGTATTCATGTTTTCCATACTTGTGTTGACGATTATATGCGCGTACATTACGATTTATCCCGCGAATTGGATAGTGAATGCGTTGCAATTAATCTTACCGCCTTACGAATGGAGATTCATTATCCTAGCGCTCGCTCTTGCCAACTTTCTTGTTTGTTTTTTCATTGAAAGTTTTATAATAGAGCATGTAATCGAAAACACTTTGAGGAGAAAATTGTATAAGCCAGAGAAATCGAAGAAACGATATCTGAAGATAGAATATGAATTGGAGCATTGCAAAAATTGGCCGAGTCTTAGCAAACAATTGTCAGTATTATCTATTTTGCAAAAGAAAGATAGCATACAGAACACGGATATTACGTGTGACAGTTATCGTCGAAGTGTTCCGAGTGATCAAATGGCAAATGATTTTCACAACTCGACCAACCCATTAGGTGGAAAGATTAGTAAAGGAAATGGTTTTGAAAATCTTAGTTTTGTAAATGACCAGATATAGTGATAACAAATGATTTATTTTAATATTAAGGCGATTTTTTCTCGAAGAAGCGAAAAATCGCTGCAATTTTCAAAGAGAATACTAAGATCAATATTTTTTCATGTGCGAAAGAAACAAGATAACGATGTTAGATTGATCTTTAAAATGGTATTAACGGTATTACTTTAATTTTTTAAATAAAAATAAACACGTGTTTACATTTTAAGCTTTGCCGTGCAAAATCGCCAATTTTTCTTGCATTTCCTATTTATTTTCAATAAAGACTTAATATTGATGCAGATTAGATATCTATTGTATTTGTAGAATTTGATTGTAATCTCATACGCATGCTTTATACATGCTTAATTTAATTTTCACGACTTGTAACATAGTTGCGCTAGATAATGTACAGAGTTGGTGCCTTTGTACAATAAAAAGAAACAGTTATAAAAGAAATAGCAATAAAATGCTTTTATATAGCTGTATTGACACAACCAGATATTTTCTTTTTTTGTAATTCTAAAAAATATATATTTCGAAATTTTTGAACTTTTCCAAAATACGACTAATATAATTATTCGGGAGAAAAAAAAACCTCTTTTTTTTTTATTGCATATTGAAAAATTTTTCTTGATTTCCTGACATCCTTTATCATGACGAGATGGCGCTTCGTGCAGATAACCAGAGAATCTTGCCAATGAGACCAAGTCATCATCATCATCCATGTCACTTCCTGTATTTACAGCGTCGTCCGCCTCTCGCTACCGTTGACCTCTCGACCGATCGGGGCTACTGACTTGAAGAAAGATGCGCTTACCTCACTGTCGAAAACGACGACTGTTGTTTGTAATTGGTCAGGGTCGTGTACCGCGGTCATCAGTGATTCTTTTCTAAGTCAGCCAGCCCGACGTCGGCAAACACGATCGTGAGGTCGCGAAGCGGGTGAACGAGTTGACGTGACGCGCATCCGAGCGTGCGAGACTTACAAGATTGATCTATCATTGTCTTGTCTGGCCGCCGTCTGGACGGTTGATTGCCATCGAGGCAAATATTATTCCCAGAATTCCCGCGACCGATTACCGATTTCGCGGTGTCTCGCACTAACTGCTTTGCACAAGATAGGGGAATTTAAAGAGGCTGATTGAATCTAATTTTCCGCTGAAGTATGAATGAGTTGTAGAACGAGGAATATTATCTTATCAATCGTAAAGTTCCAAGTTTTAAAATCACAGTATAATTTTTAAAAAATGCTAAGAGTTTTTATTTTATTTTGCTTGTTATGAGAAGTAGTTAAGAGTTTAAAAAAAAGCAAAATAAAACTTTCCTGCGAGTAGTTCTTAGAAAAATTTACTTTTTAAAACTTAAAAAAAATAACTTAAGAAAACTTTTTGATTTACTATAGAACTTTTTAAAAGTTTTAAAAAGTAAATTTGAACACTTTAAAATAGGATTTACTCTTCAAAAACTTAAAAAATTTTTTTTAATAAATAAAAAAGTGTTCTTAAATTCTTTTTTCTTGTTTATTACTTCTGTATTACACATCTATTTAGTGCTAATAAATGTGCAATGTGAGTAATTTGTGTTCCGCATTCAATTCTCTGAGCATTGCAATATTTACAACTTTAAGTCTTACAAATGATTTCAAGGACCAAAACTTAAGAAACTTTGGGGCCTTGAAGTTACTTTAAACAAATTTTTACTTACTTTTACGCCAACTTTAATACTAAACACCATTATTAAGTTACTTCATATAAACTTTTAGATACTTTTCATGAACTTTATGTCTTTAATAACTAAAGAAGCAAAAACTCAAGGATATTTTAAAAACTCCGAAATAACTTAAACAAAACTTAACAATTTTTATAGTTACTTAAAAGAACTTTTCAAATTTTTAAAGTTACTAAACAAAACTTTAATAAACTTTAGGCCAATCTAAAGTAAATTTTTCTAAGGGAGAATACATGCAAATATTATGTTTCGACATTAATATTACTTTTCTAATTAAATCAATAAAAATTTTATTTAAACAGAAAATTGTTATTTAGAAAATTATTTTTTAATAATAAGTTTTAAAGTCAGTTCTAAATGTTTTATCAGCATTTTTCAAAACTCAAGAAGAGAATGTGCAATTTATGCGTAATTGCTATTTAATTATTTTTCAAAACCATTGTTTTAAATTTTGTATCTCTTGTAAAAATATAATTAAAATTTGTATATATATATTTTTCTTTAATTTTTCAAAAATGCATGACAGTTTTCTGTGCGCGTGTTCATAGATTACTGCACGTGGTTACATATAATTTTGGCAACTTTGATGTCGACTTTTTCTACTAAAATTTTTAAAAGCTTATGAATACGTGTCTCTCTCTCTCTCTCTCTATGAGATTTTTTATTCAGCATTATATGTAAAATGTAATAAGCATGCCTATCATGATAAATTCATCATCATATATCAGCATCAAGAAAATCAACAACAGATCTTTCAAATTCTTTTTCTACCCATGGTATCAAAACAAAATGTCTTTTTTCTGACGAATGGCGTTGAAATGCAAAGATCTGAAGCACGGCGTGCGCATTCCGCTTGGACGACAAGAAAAAGATAAGAAAGAGAATAGAGAGTCGAGGAACTCGCTCTCGCGCCCGCGCGCGCGCGCGCGAGCGCGAGGGGAGGAATAGAAAAGGGGCTGGCGAAGAGGCGAGGGAGAAAGGAGAAATAAAGAAAGAGAAGGAAAGCGAAGTTCGCGGTGTACGCGGCTTGATTGAATGCGGATGTGCGTGCAGCCGGTGGCCGGTGGTCGACAGCCCACGAATCGGGGGAAAATTATGGCTAGGTCCTCTTTCGTACATGTCGGTGGTTCGATGCTATCTGCCTTCTCCTTCCGGGAATTTCGCGGTATAAATAGAAGGGCTCTAGTGTGCACGTGTGTACGTGTGCGTGCGTGCGCGCGTGTGTGCGTGTACATGTGCTCGCGACTTGACTACAACCCGGGAGTTGCAGCGGGCTCTTCGCGGTGGAGAAAGCCGAAATGGCAGCACCCGAATATTCGGCACCCGCGCGATTTATGCACCCCACTCGCGCCGTTGTGCCCGCCTATCCAGACTGCAAAATGGAATTCCAGTCGGCACGAAAGCCACAGTTGTTGACCCGTCGAGCTGAACTCGCCTCTCTGGTCACTGTTTTAATTGCCAGCAGCGCGACGATCGCTATGCATTCGGTCTGCCGAACGGTTCGACCTCTGGCGCCGCTCGCGTTCACCTTCTTCATCCCTTGTTCTCTTTCCGCACGCTTTCCGATTCCGCGCCTTCTAAATCCCCTCGCACTGAAATTATGGGTAATTATCGTGCGGCTTCTTTATCCGATCGTCGTTTATTCGCTAGACTCGAAATCTCTGCGCGATAATAAATCTTGATGTGGCCAGCGAATATGCGCGACTTAACAGCTCATGACTTTGAAAATTATCAGTGCGTACGTAGTATTATGATTGTTTGAATAAAAAGTTTTATCGAAAAGATAAGTACTTGTACATCGCAACGCATGCCTTTAAAAGCTCGTTTATCTACGCATGCATGCACTGATGCATCATAAAACAGTGACAAAGTAATTTTTCGATAGTAGTAGATTTTAAATATATCAAAGAGAATTTATTATCCCAAAATTCTATGATTCTATGACGATGACTTCTTTAATGCGTTCTTGGTGTTGAATATTGTCTGCCAATTTATTTTTAATATAAGATACATTTTTAGAATAAACAATCATATCTCAAAAATTGTTTCTTGTGCATATCATTGGTTGCATATCATTTACTCACATTTATTACAAATGCGAATGAGGCTTCTATCCAGATGTTTTCCTCGAAAACAGAAGTGTTTTCGCGCGAGATGCACTAGGATAGTAACCGAATTCCTCATCGCCAAGGGAAACGAGAAACCGTCTTCTCCCCCCCATATCAGCGGCACTTGATAAATTGGCACACAAACGTGAGATACTATCCCTTTTGTTGATGCAGTCCCTCGCCAACCCTTTAATCCCGAGGTGCAGCGGCTGGCTACTTTATACTCGGAGGCTCCACCTGCCTGCCTGACTGCCTGCGCGAAAGGGGGAGGGTATTACGGGGTTACTAAAGTATTGTATGGCCTCCCCAAGCCCCATAAGGATAGCCCTCAGGCACGCACCCCCGTTATCGTATGCGTATGCATTTTTTTTCGCTGGTGCGTGCGCCGGGGACTCGCAGCCCTTATATGTGCAGTGAAGGTGAAGGGGGCATCGGGTAACACGGGCAAGCAAGCAGCCACCCAAACGACCGAAACCCGAATGCTCCGAGGACACGACTTGTTCACGTAGCGTGTCCTCTTCTCTTCTCTCACTCGCGCGCGTTTTTTTCTCGTACTCTCCCTCGTTCTCTCCTCCTCTATTCTTTCACGCCTTCTCTATTCCACTTAGTCACCCGAAAGCACACCTGTATTTACAATCGATAAGGGCCAATAGTTCGGAAACAGGTGATTCCAATATCGCGTAAATGAGATGCCGCGATCGCCTTACACTTTTGAGACGCTTCCCTTATCTCTCGCGTTTATCGCCCCTCTCGAAATTCAATTGCAAATTGCACAAATATACCCCGACTCTTGTTTGACTTGATGATTTAATTTACAAATAAACCCTCTTGATTACGACAATTGACTGTCGCACAAATAACGAAACATTAATTGATTGAACAATGCGCGGACATTTGGAGAATCGGAGAATCGGGCGATAGGAGAACGCGCCTCATCGACGTTGAAAGTGTAATAGCGCGATGAGCCCACGGAGAGAGAGAGAGGGGGGAATCGCGAGGTCTTCGCCAGCATATAACATACCATGAGTGTTCCGGAGCTAAACCTAGAGTGCTAGAAATACACTCCAAGTTAATTCAAGTACATCGCCTTCGCTGTCGCTATGTACATTCCCTCCTCCCGTTCTTGTCCGCGAGCTTCTTTCTAGCATAAATCGCCACTTAAGCTCTCACTCACGAACAATTATTTACTTATCTTTAATCGCAACAAATTTTAGTAGCAAGTGAAAAAAGTATTGACTATGAGAGATTTATTGAGTCCCGATTAAATTACGCGAGTTTCGATATTTCCTTTTAAATAAAAATAAATTTTCCAAACGTGATGTACACGTAAGAATTACCCGAATGCATCGTCATATGCACTCAGCTTGATGCTCGGAAAGAAGTAGCATTCACCCTCGCGATGCAAACTCAACCTCCTCTTTAGGTTCCTCATCGTTTCGACCCTCCGTAAAAAGAAAGCCAGCAGGTTGACGTCCCCTAAGTAAAAGGCACCACTTCATCTGTGCCCTCGAACGAAGGGACAAGTCGCTAGGTGCTTGCAAGTGCTGTCATCATTATTCGTCATCACTTTCCTTATCTACAAATGCTAATCATTTCACGTCACAAGCACACGCGAACCGCGCGAAACTTGAGTAGTAAGAGAATCATTTCAGCTGTGCTATTAATCAATTTCTCGATTCTCTAATACATCGATTTCATATTTAGAGAACAAATTCTATTTGTAATAAAAATTTTAATAACAAAATGGTAAATAACAATTCATAAAAATGTGCAAAAAACAAATTTATATATTTCTAAAAATTCTGACAAATAAATAACCAAACCGGTGTAAAAGTAAGAATGCTTACGTAATCAGTCCGTGAGACACGGCGTTAATTAATCGTACGATAGGTAATCGGTCGATGATGATCGTCGAAGAAATTAGATTACACTATCGAGAAAAGTACAAGCAGCACGTACGTCGTTGTGCCGTCTCTGTCCGATTATTTCTGGTTGTTACTCTTTGATCTATCGTTCACCTCTGCTTGCTCACTCGTAAAATCCTCGTAATGCAAATCCTAGTAACGACCGTACTTAAGTGCTTTAAGCCGGATTGTCGAATGGATCATAAAACGCAACTAGAGATTACCAGCACCACCATGACATTATGTCAAAGGCCGTATGTCTTTGAATAATATTATTATTCCTATCCCCATTTCCCGGAGTGCTTATCATTTAACAGCCCATGCGTAAGAAACGCGTTCTAATATCGGCTTACATTCGTTTTCACTCCTCCGAATGGCGAAAGCTCGTACACGCGAAGTATTGCTGTTCCTACGCGCGTACATTCCTCGTCGATTATTAGAGCCGTTAATATTGCACATATTATACAGCAATTCATAAGCTGCAAATAAATTCCAAAGCTACTTAATGTGAAATTATATATTGTAAGAATTGATAAGAATTTATCGTTTAAAGAGTTGAGAAGAGTTTCTAACTTTTTAAATGAAGAATTTCTTTTAAAATCCTGATAAATCAACTGGATAAAATTTATCAAATGTTTGTCAGATATTGTTTAAATATATCTCCGATCATGGCCTTGATCATGCCTGCTAATAAGTCTGATATTAGAATTTTGAAGAAAAATATTATCACAAATAACGCCGCACTGTTTTCACGTTACTTAATTATTTCATTATTCAGAGTTTACTCCGCTCTTATCTTAATTATTTCCGTTAATCACTATTAATTTGCATAACATATTAAGTACAAACTAATACGTGTTAACATGTGTAAACAATGTTTTTTAGCCGCTTTGTATCCATCCGCCAGAAGTTTCATAGATTTACATAAACGTCTGCGAAACGAGCGCGGCTCTCGTTTCTTACGTTTCTTTTTTTAAGTGGAAGGAGGAAAGTTAGGCGAGAATGTTTCAAACTACACCAATTTAAATGCCGATCCGATGAGCCGGCCAATATGCCGTGCGCCTGGCAGAGTGCAAGGTTATTAAGGCATAGTCTGGTCGGCGGCACGGTCGGCGAGTTTAGGTAGATTGGTCCAACGGGCCAGTGCATTTTCGAGAGCTTATTGCTATCGACGGACGAGCAAAGCTTGATCTCAGATTACTCAATGATTTCTTCTCGCAGTGGAAATACAGCCTGCTCTCATTGCAGAAATTATTGCGCATTTGGATTGTGATGAACACACTCTTTGCAACTTATAATTTTCAAGTGCAAATTTGAAAAAGTTATATTTCTGAGTCTTTAGAAAGTTTCATGCTTTATCGAAAACTTAAAGGAATAACTTGTAGCGAATTTTAATGCAGTGAAAAATATGTTAATAAAAATAAAAGGAAGAACTTGTGCGTCTGTTATATTGTAGAATCTGCAGTATATATGTTATCTAATATAGTATTTTTTGTATACTACTCACATTTTTCTATATAGTCTAATTAAATTTTAATAGTGAGGACAATAATAGGTAGATTAATAATTATTTTTACTTGGACAATCTTGATTTAATACGATTTATTTATAATAAAATTTTAATGTGTGCATTGTAAGGCTTACAAAAAGCTTTGTTTGCTTAATCATTAATTGTGATTAGAATTTATTTTCAAATAATATAAATTTTATAATTCTGTCTAGAATATTTTTAGCATATAACGTCGACTATTTTTGTATATGAATAAATTCTGTGGTGTTTTCGGGTTAATGTCGATTTTGGCATTTTTGTTTCGGAGAAAGGAGAGCACTAACCCGACCGTCGGCAAGGACGAGTGCCCGAGGCGGCGCCGAAGAAAAACAATAAAACGAGAATTGGCACGTCTGGCGAAACAGTTGACTGTCGTCAATTCAACTGGCCGACTCTTGTCAGGACGTGCACCTAACTATCGTATTATATGCACGAATTATCGTCACATGTCTCGGAATAATGCGACTCTGACTGTGTCAGTGACATACTGTGTCGTCAGAAATATTTAAAGTAACAATGAATATATATGTAAATTTTAAACATGACGTGTATAGTTTATTTAAAGCTTAAATTTCCTTTTTATTTTTATTTTATTAATATAAATTTATCTAAATATATTGTGAGTACAATTATTTTATTGTAAGTTATTAAAATTGTAAAATATTATGTAAATAAATTTAATTACTTATAATATAATAAAATAATTATACATACTTACAATATACTCAACATATATATATATATATATATAAAAAGCAAAAGAAATTTTGCATTTAAACGTATTCTAAATTAAATATAAAATTACATTTTATATATTCAAATTTTTATACATTTTATTAAAATACATTTTGATAATAGCAAGTAGGTGCAAAGATGTATAACTTTTTTGAAAAGAGAGAGAGAGAATTAAAGACGATGACTTGTGAAACTTGATTTGTGCTCATTGCGGAAATTATCTTAAAACCATTTATGATGAATTTATTGTTTAATTGTAACTTGCATTCTTAGATGGAATGCATTCTGCTATCGATGCAGTGGCGCCGATCGTTTAAATAAATTTTTCCTTGGCACCCTTTCGATCTGTGCGGCGACAAATAAGATAACCCTTCCTTCAGTTCCACGTTACAATTGCTTCAATTATCGCAACTGACATAAGAGCCGTGACACAGTTATAATGACCTACAAGAATAAAGCGTGTAAAAAAATTTTATATATATAAATATTTCAAATTTTATTTATTCTGATGTGATGCACTGTGAGATATGGATAAAAATATCCATAAATGTTTCGGTAAACATGTTTTCAAAGTATGCGTCATTTTATTGCCGCTGCGCAAAATAATGTTGCACATGCAATATTTTAGGCAAGTTAAGCGAGGCGTGTATTTAACAAACATTAAAACTGTAAAAAATAAATAAATAATGGAATAGATAGTCTAATAATTTTGTTACTATTCGCACATTTCACTCATTTTATCATATTCATACGCATAATAGATAATTAAAGATAGGTAAATTATTGTTTACATTCATGACAATATTATAATGCTAAAGAAATATTACATTTATAATTGCCAAGTTATGTATATACTTTACTCTAATCTGGCATAAAAAGATAAACACGATACATTGATGACAAATTCCACAATTTCTTTTAGTAACGTATTTGTCGATCATTAATCAATGATAAGTAAGTGATAGTTGTATTTACGGAGTGTCGTTCTGGTTCACAGCGCAAATGGCGTGAACCATTTAGCCCCGAATTTTTGGCATTATCAACATGTGACGCGATGCTGCGTGAATTCTAGATATATCGAGAATTCTGAATATACATTAACACACAGGAAACATCTATAATTGATCTGTCTACATTTTCGCGCGACAGAGATTGGTAAAATTCTGGTCGGCAAGAATTGTTTGAAGATTGGAACTTTGTACCGATGATTTGGAAAAGCAACCTGATACGGCGCATGTATCGCAAAAAATATTTTTCTTTGTTCTGGGGAGTACCAGAAATCGGCGAAAACACGACTGGTTTTAATTGGCAGACAAAACGAAATCGCTGAACACTAATCGTTTTTGTGCCCCGAAAGTTTATCGTCAGCCGTCACCACAAATCTTGCATTGATTAAAAAGAAAGAGAGACGTGAGGGAACATGATTTAATAAAATGAAGATTAGTTATTGTAAAATACGCATGCGATATTGCCAAATTTAGCACGTAACTGACCTTTAAAAATAAATCTGATATGAATGATTTGCAGAAATGGCGAACCACTTACGTTATAAATGTGTCTTATTTGGAAGAAAAGGAAATCAAATATGTGTGACTCAAGTAATTAAAATAATTGAAATTAATTTACAAATTATAAAATAATTTGTGCTCCGTGAGATTTTTGTCAGAATACTGAATGCTTTGATGTTGAATAAAAGTTAAATTTAATTTTTTTAAATTTAAAACTCAAGCTTTTTAAATGAAATAAACAATTATAATTGCACTATTAAGTGAACTTTGTGTGTTTAATAGAAAAGTAAAGGAGGAAAAAATTAAAATATTATTCCGTGCTCATCGAAAAACCATTTATTTCATGGAATAAATATTCTTCTATCTATGCTGCCTACCTAAGAAGTACACATTATACATATAAGTATGCATTTTTTGCCGTCCTCATTTATACATTGGGGAAGATACACAATTCCTTTATTTCTTTTTTTAATTATTGGTACATTCGCAAACTGAGAATGTAAGGAGTAAAGATAGAAAGCGAAAAACGGTGATCGCAGAAAAATGAAAAATAGAGGACAGCTTAACGGAAAAGAGACGAATTACAAAGGAATCGATTTTTCAAGGAGCTTTTTCTTACTTTCTAATGATCGCTTTATAAAAATCGCAGTTTTTTTTTTATAAATTCGTGTATGTATGTGTTTTTTTGTTCCTTTACAATCACATAAAGGTCAGGGACGGTGTGCGCAAGTCGATCCGTGTATCGTATACTATTTTACAAGATATAGCTACCGTGCACTTGAATCGAAGCAGAGGGAAAAACGTGGAATTAACAATAAATGTTACTCTCGTAGTATAAGAGATTTCAGGCGTGTTCCCGGATTTTGAAGATCGCTATACAACGAGGGATTGAAACCGACAAAATCTTGATAAGTTTAATTCTCAACACTAGATTCTTAATGCCAGATTCAAAGAAATGCGCCGTATTTACGATCGATTGGCGCGTTTTCGTTGATTTGATTAAATATAGAGAGATCTAAACTTGTCGAAATTACATCGATTTCAATCGCTATACACAGAATTATTTTATGCATCGGGGATATGTCTACACATATTAGAGCACTGATTTTTTCTCTCTGTCATCGTGAATACATTTAATAAGGATTACGAAAGAATCAGCGACGGTAATTTTTAATGGACCTAAAATCAATAAAACGTTAGATTCACTGTCTGTCGGAGGAAAAAAAAAGAACTTTTAACATAAGTTTGTTTATAAATACTTGTCAATTTTTAAAAAATTGTACAATGTGCGGAATAGGAAGAGGTGCATTTCGAAAGAAAGTTATCTTTTCCTGATCCGCGTTATAAAATGTAACTATTAATACCGTGAATTACGAGGAAAAAAACTACTAAAAAATCAGGCGTATTTCACGTTCGTTGCACAACAAACGCTCATTCATCTAGAAATAAACGCTCAGTGCTTGTTCTGCGTCCGTGACGACTAACGAGAACGTATGAAATTTCCGATTACCGTGATATTTAAAGTTTTTGAGCGCCATTTAATCGAATATCGCGCCGTTAATTACAACTTGGAGCCGTACTCGCAGTAAAAAAAAAAAAAAAAAAAAACGGAAGACAGAGTTTTCCGCCAATATACGAGTAACGTCCTCGTTGAATCCTTCCAGGACCCGGGAGTCTTAAAAAAGCAACACCACACTCTTGCCTGTTTATTTACATAATTCGACACGCTCTCTCGCACACGCACTCTCACAATTCGCTAAAACGACCATAATGACAAAAACATATATATATATATGTATATATATATATATATATGTATATAAAGACGAAGGAAGGGAGGGGAGAGAAGGAAGTAAGAGAGAAAAAACCATTAAAAAAACAACGATTTTACTGTACACCGAGATCTGTTGGCCGACACATTTTCATCGATCGTCGACGACCTCTGTTAACGACAATGTATCTTGTTTCCAACGTAAAAGAGACAAGAATACATTGTCTGGATACAATTCAGCCACGCGAAACGACCGTGCTGTATCCTTCGTAATCGCATCTAAAGTCTCACGAGAGCCGGGCATAGTAATGCAATAGTAAAAATTTTAACATAGTTTTGTACTGCTCATCACAAAATCGCTTTGGGATTTTGCGAATATATAACGCTCGTAGCGGCTACGAGCGTTATAAATAACCCCGGGCTCTTTCCCGCCTGTGCTAGGAGTGAGAAAACTCACGTAATCGAATAATCACGAGGTCGCGCCCGTGGATCAGATGCAAACGTATCGGCATCTTAAAAATAATACCGTGACTCTAGGAACTATCCGCCTTGCCGTGGACTATAAAACCATCGTCGAGGTGCCTCCCCGCTAAACGACGCGAGTCCCTCTTTGGATTTTCTTGGCATCCAGCGCGGTCTTCGGAAGGAGATTCTCACTCGAATCCACCATCCACTGTTCTAGCTGCTGCTCACTCTCGTGCTCCCCCCCCTTACGCGCTCCAAAGAGATCCGCATCACGCAACTACTCTCCGAACAAGGCACTTTCAGTCTATCGGATGAGGAATCGCCAAGAACGCGGCGACAACAATTGACGACGATTGACGAGAACAACGACGATGATTATCGGAATCAATCGGGAGGAGAGCGTCGCGGGACGTTACCTCGCGTCGACGTGCTCTCGGCGTCGTCCACGTCGCTTTTGTTCTGCCGGAATCGAAGGTGGACTATGAACAGCCGCACTTTTCGACGACCATACCCGGCAACCGCGAGAACACGATCTGGTACTCGTTGTCGAAGTACAGCATCGTGATTTCGGATAGCTTCCTAGGTGCGCAGCACGGCCCGGTGTTATTCGGCGGTTCCGCCAGGCTGACGATGTGCGTGTTCGGATAAGCCGGAAGAAAAGCCATCGGACAGTCACCCGAGCAGTAATTGGCATCGTATCTGCGACACAAACATTTTGGGAGCCGATCATTAATGAGAATTCTACGAACTGATTCGCAATATTGGCCGCTATAACGGCCGGTTTCGCCGAACAATCAATCGGACTGTTAAAGCTTAAGACAGCGTTGATGAAACTGATTTGAAAAGCCAGTCTTTTCCCAGCCGATTCAGTTACGCTTTCCTAATTTGTCATATTTATCAACGAGTCAAGTATTGCCACGTTAAATTCGCGTAAAATGCATATGCAAACAGCGGCGCATAGCAGGACGTATTTTCGGACGTGAACGTGAGCAAAAACAGTTTTAGTATTGTTTATGTAGAGCCATTCTACGTGCCAGCAAGAAAGTCACAGTTCCTTTATTGAAACCGCGTTTGGTTTAAATATTTTCTCCTTCGCCGGAGAAATCTTTACGAGTACGTGCTTCGCCGACGATGCATTAATCGTTTTGTAAGTCGCAATATATTCTCGCGGAAGTGCGCGTATATTCTATGAAACAAGCGTGAAATATATCACGTTGATAACTTACATAAAAGATTTCACTGTCATTTTCGTTGTGCATTTATTGTTATAATTGTTTGCTTTCGACAGCGACTCATAATCTTGATATTACGTAAATAATTAGAATTCCGAACAAGATTTATTGTTAATTTCTCGAAATATGTAATAAAAGCATGCATCAACAAGGGTGCCGAGTGCAGATTGAAAAAGGTGACAAAATGATTTACAAACTAGTTTTCTTTGCAAATTTCTTCTACAACTAGTTCCGGTTGGTTCGGGTATTATTACCCAACTACCCCGTTCTAAACAATAGCACTAGCAACATATTAATAAGAAAAATGGAATGTTTATGTACTCACTTTTTAGGTGCGATTATCCAATCCCAGCCGAACTTTTCGAAATCCACCGTGAGCTTATATCGGCAGCACCGCGTCTCCTGGCTGGCTTCGTCACAGTTGAGTCCCACGTTCCTCTTGATCCTGGAGCCTCTTCGCGAATCAAGTTCCTGCATCTGCACCTCGAGATACGGGGCGTACTCCGCGCCGGGATTCGTTTCGACTAGTCGGGCCGAGTTCCTGCGGTGATTGCCGCCAGGTCCGATGATCTTTAGCGCCACTCCTAGATTATCCCTGGGGTGCTTGAACCACTCGGCCACCATTCGTCTAAGTTCGATCGTGATCCAGCCGCCTCGTCGTCCGTACGGTCTCAGATGCTTCGTAGTCAACGGCGGGCCCAACAGGGGCCCACCCGTTTCGGTCGCGCCTCGTAGAATCCTTTGCAGGGTAATCGTCACCGGACCCGCGTCCTGGCTGTCCAGGTCGCTCGGCTCGCTGAGCTCCGAATCTTGATTCACTCCCCATATCCACAGAGACAGATCCGCCTTGGTGACGCGATGCTGGACGACTTTGTCGGAGAACTTAAAGTACAGCACGTCCAGATTGCCTTTTGAGTGCCTTAACCTCTGATCTGCAAGCATAAGATTTGCGATATACGTCAGTCGCGGAATATAATAATTACCCCTTTTCAATT